CTGTAAGTACTATGATATGTATTTTCTGTGGAATTAACTGTAAAATGATAAGAAAAAATAAAAAATTCTTATTTAGCCTACATATATTCATTTGTATTACATTAATTATACTTGAACTAACAAAGAAATCATTCTTATATGGATTATAAATTATCAATTCCTGAATCACCATTTAAAATATTATTGAAAATAATATTTTTTTTAATGCCATCTTATAATTTAGTAAATCCTGCTCACTTTAAATTCTTATTACGTTTTCATTTTCTGATTGTCTTACTAGAATTTTTCCTTCTTTAATCCAAATATACTGATAATTATTACTTCTGGCAGCATTTTTAGTTATAGAAAAAAAGTTTTTTAATTCAGGTATTAGATGTTAATTTACAAACACTAGACCTTTCTTATAGTTTTCATTTATATAAGTAAGTTTCATCACTTTCTTCACTTCATGTTGAAACCATATATTTCTAAGTTGTCTATTTTAAAATTGTACGATAATCAGCCTAGAGTCTTTTTTATGTTTCCTGGTGTTACTGTATGGTCTATTTGAATATCTTCTCTTCTTTTAGAGTGATATTAGCTGCCTTTGCAATTACTTGAATAATTTTTCTAATATTCTCTTTCTGTACTTCTTGTACTTCTTGAACTTCGATATTCATATTTCATGAATACTGTTGAAGATCAATTATTACTTGTTCTTTTAAAACGTTGATTTCCTGTTACATATTTTTGTTTTGCAACACTAGTTCCTGATTTTGTTGTTTAATGTATTTTATCTTTGCCATTATTTCTGACATCATTTTTATAATATCATCAATTTTGTTTGAACAAAAATCTACTGATGTTTTGAGATCATTCATTTCAGCTTTACATATGGGGATTTCCTGTCTAAATTCACACATGTTTTGTTTATTTATTTCCAATATTTCACTTTACAAAAGTGTTCAAACATTTTACCTTCACAAGTATCATCAGATTGTCCTAAGTTTTTATCTACTTGATGAACACCTTGACTGGCTTCAGCACACTCAGTATCATGTAACTTTGTTACTTCCACCTGCTTAGGATTATTTTCTTGAATTGGAATTGTACAATCCTGTTTTCTACAATTTGGACATTTGTAATTATTTTTCTTTTCTTTACTTAATTTTCTATAAGTTACTTCTTTCACTGCTACACAGTAATAGTGATAATATAACTTACAACCATTGAAAAATTGTGCACAATCGTTTGAATCAATTATTTCTTCTTTACAGATACTACATGTTAATGCCATCTTATGCCCCTAAATACTGCAAGGATAAACATACTAGCAGTCCTGTGGAACACCCCATCTCAACAGTTGGTGTTATAAAACTGAAAAGCCACAGAACGGAATACAACATGTAAAATTAGGCCACTATAAGGAAATAAAGAAATAAAAAAAAACACTTACCCAGTCACAGTTGACTGAGTTATGGAGGATGGCAACATGCAGTATTTGTTATCCTAATGAGGAGGAGATGGTGACATAATGAAGTTAATGAGAGATGAAGGTGTGTGTTGTGGTCCACACACCAGCCTGAATGATCTCCCTCAATGGGCGATGGAAGTGAGCAGCCAGGGAGAGGTTAAACACGTGGGGTAGGGGTAAGTATCAAGGCTAGTGGCAAGCAAATATATATTCAAAACAAGTCAAACTTATGTAAAGTAATTTTTATGCTATAGGAAATCACAGTTCTTAGATACAATTCTAAAATTCTGCATACAGAGGGCAGCAGTGAATGAGAAAAGCTATGATGTGAGGTAAGGTATCATACTGGAACTCTATAATGATGACACCAACTATCAACTTATTAAGGTTGTACTGAGTATAAAGAATAATTCTAAAAGGAAGTTCTCAAACTTACTAGTCTGGTATGCTACTCCATAAATGAAAGTCATCGACGAACATTTGATGCATTAGCACTCTTCCCACGGGAAAAATGTATCTGTTCAGAGACACATCATTGCTCTCATTCGTATAAATGTCAACCTGTTGCAAGCATAAGAGTAATTTTGTAAGGCTAAAATAAAAAAAACACTCAACATATGAATAGCAAAATTCCTTGAACAAGGGTAAAATCAAATAGTTTTACTGCATCAAATAATTTGTATGTGCTTAAATCATTGATGTACATGTTAAAATAATTATTTTCATATTCATGGTATATATATATATATCATAAAGCTCCATTTACCTAGCTAATCACTAAGCTTGGTAGTGCTTAGTATGTAGGGATGGGCCTACAAAAAATGGCCTCTGCATTCAATCTATTACTCTATGATGCTTACAAATAACTGCTAAAGTTGAGTTTTAGCCTTATTGGAGCACCTAATTGCCATTATCAAGTGTACCACAGCTTGTGAGACTCCCAATATCATTGAAAAGTGTTTAAAGTGTAGAACTGAAAACTAGCTAAAGAGCCAAACTGATCATCTTTCTTGTTTTCTTCTCCCATGCTATGATGCTTGCAAATAATTTCTAAAGTTGAGATATAGCCTTATTTGAACATCTAATTGGCATTATTAAGCATTTTACAGATTTTATAACAATAATATTATTCTACCACACATATTTTTGTGGGAAAATAATAAAATGGAAAACTACTACTTAGCAGTGAGTTCAGTTTATAAGCATATATTATTTCCATGTTTCATAAATAACAGTTTCATTTCTTGTCGCTAGATGACAGCACAAAATGTTCTTATATAATGACCATTTGTGACTTTTCATAGCACAAACATATCTGCCTAAACAATTTCGAAATAAAGAAAGAAAGAATATTTTAAATGAATATTCAAGGTATCAAGGAGATAAGTATTTACGCAACTGACAGATCTGTGTACATGTTATCGATGTCTGAGTTTAAAAACACTAGTTTCTTAATTATCAAAACAATACATTATATTGTGATCTACTCTTCTTCAGAATTTCAGTATGGCTGAGCCTGGCAGCTGTGTGTGTATGCATGGTATCATACTTCATAGCCTTGGATCTGTATGATGTCCTCCCTATTAATTAGCATGATCCTAGCATGTATTGGAGTCGATTTTAGGTACATGCAGTGAGTTGGGGTGAAGTTGGAAGGTGTGGGTTATGTAAATATCTTCTTAACATTGGTCCAGTGCTCTGGGGTACATGTACCATTCTGGAGGAACCCAATTTAATCCAAAATTAATTAAAGAAACTGACAAAGCTGATATACTAACAATATATATATATATATATGTATTACCATTGAATTATAAAAATAAATGGTCACTTATCAACCTACTTCAATGAAATTATTTTAAAAAAAGAGGGTAAATAAGTAATGAAAAAAAAGTTTTGCAAGAGATTAAGTATGATATAGGGATGGCAATGCCAATAAGTACAGAAACAAGGAAGTGATGAATACACAAAACCATAGAAAAATCCCTACATAAGTAGCCAGCTAATGGTTATCAGCCACTGTAAAAATGTATAGAACTATTCAGTTTAAATGCTTTTATTCAAATCTGAATTCAACATTTAGTTACTTATGTAGTCATTTTTGTATAGTTTTGTGTATTCATCCCTACCTTGTTTCTGTACTTTTTGGCATTGCCATCCCTACATCATACTTAATTTTTGCAAAATTAATTTTTATTACTTATATACTGTTGGAATTTACTAAGTATATTTTGAACCATGTTTTATTTAAGTAACTTGTTTCCTTGCTTGGCGTTACTTAGGAAACCACTGTAATCCCTTGTGACCTAAAACAGGAATACTATATACTAATTACTCTTTAGAAAGATTAAAAAAAACTTAAGACAAAATTTCTCAGACTGAAATAAAAAATTTAAGAACTGAAGGCTAAAACAATTTTTATAGGATTGTTGCATAATAGAAAGATTAAACTAAAAGGATATCAGAAATGACATTGCTAACATTAAAACAAACAGTACTGAATTTTATATTTTTAGAATTAAAATGAATTTCAAACAGATACTTACCTTTGAAATACTAAAAGTTTTTCCTTGTTGAATTTGAAATCATGATGTCAATAAAACAAATGAATGAAAATTTTGGAATGTCCTTTGCAGATTGCAGAGCATATATCACTTACTCATGATTCCCCACTCTCCCACCTTCCACATAACTTAGTGTGCTAGCATTAGGAGATCTTAAATAAACTCTTCTTTCCAGCCATAATTTAAATTTTATTGAAAGTTGCAATTGTGATGAAAATTTAGTTGTGAGTGGGAAGGCTGAACGGAAATTATTTCAGAAGTAAATTTCTCTTTAAAATTAATTTCAATCCTAAAAATGTAAAATTCAAACCCATTAGACTTACACGTGAATTACCTAAAGCCAGATTAAGCATATTAAAAAGGAGATGGTAACCAACATGAAACAAAATTAAAAATCTTAAAGTACAAGCTACATAGCAAGAATATCATAATTTATACTATCAAAAAGTTGTATCCAAGCAGAACTGGAGTACAATCCAGAAACAAAAAATATCTTGCACAACTGGAGTTGAGGGAAAATGAGTGCAGCAGGCCAGTCTTATCAAAAGACTGGAACTAAATGATGCTTAGAAAGATTCTTCTCAACAGGATACCTCTTCATCTGATTTAGAAAAAAGGGATGTTTTTATGAGTGGTAATGGCATATTGAACCTGTGGAGACAATAATAGGAAACATGTAGGAGGAATACTATGTCTTGTAGTTGAAAGTTCTTAGGGGAACAGCCTAGACATATATTATTAAAGGACATACTTCAGAGATAGTAGCTCACTTCATTCACATCAAAAATACCTAGTGATTCATACAACAGGACATATTAATGGGTCTCAGGAAGAACCAAAGAAAAATCAAAATAGTCCACAATGATGGGATCAATAATAATAATAGTATGGTGTAATGGAAACATAAAAAAATAACTATGAAATAACTAAGAATAAAAACATAGATGATCCCTATCTTTGTAGGAGTTGAGAAATCTAGTAATAACAGTAGTTATGTTTGCTTTTTTTTTAATTCCATGGAAGATTGCGCATGTGTAGGCAGAAAATCTACCTGCCAAGGTATCATCAGTTACCAGGTGGCACTCTCTGTTTACTTCTAGAGGGGTCATACACTGTCATGGAACTCCAGCATAAAAAGTGGAAATTCTGACTATGAGAAACACAGAAGTATGTGTGACAGGCGAGAGTTCTGACTGGACAAATCCAAACACAGAGTCTCACAGAAGTTATAATTTTCTTATTCTGAAAACGTATTTCTGACAGGTACTTATTTTTTGTGCATGCCACAAGCCTTAAATCTCCCACATCTGGAATTGACTGATTCCAATGCCTCTCACATGCAAATCATCATGCGATAACCCTCCACCAATAAGAGTGGAACATACTCTCTTGATACATGTGACACACTCTATTCAATTCTACCAAGCTATCACTTTGAGTTTTGGCAGAAAATGGAAGCACTGGTTTTCAGTGGGGAGGAAGGGTGGGAAGTGCGATTAGAGGTAAGTAATTATTGGAAATACATTTTCAGTATAGAAAAATTATAACTTCCGATATGGTACATTACCTCCATTCACATAAATATCTAGAATTCCACACTGAACAGGTGGAGGAACTGGTGCGAGGGAAAGAAAGAAGCATCTTTCGAAAGTATTCGAAGGACACTCCCAAAGAGATCTTCGGAGTCATATGTGGGAGACTGCACCACTTCTGAACCAGGTATACTCTTTGCCCATTGTGGAAATATGTTGCATATATCGGCAGAAGATTGGAGAAGCACATCCAAATGGGAGAGAACTATGGCAGAATAGTAATCCAAATCATACATTATATATTAAAGTTATGAAGCTCAGAAAACATAAAAGTGGGTAAGATTAAAGGATGTGTCCTACGTGTAGAGTGGCTAGGGTGCGATGGACCGTACATGGAAAGTCAACTACATCCAAAACCCATGCTACTGTGAATCGACATCCACGGGAGTGGGTGGGTGGATAGGATGAAGATCATACCATCAGCAAGTCAACTACAATCCAAAACCTGACCACATGGTACCAACATCCATGTGAGGGTAGGAAAGATGATCATATTCCTGGCAAGCTGACTACAATCCAAAACCCAAGCTACTGGGTACTTACATCCAAGTGGGGGCAGGAAAGAGGATCATACCAGTGGCAAGTCAACTATAATTCAAAACCCACCCATCTGGTTGGGGTAGGAAAGAGGATCATACTGTCTTCAGCTCCAGTTCATAAGACTGGAGGGAATCTTGTCCCCCCCAATCCATGAATGAGCACATATTGTTGTTATATAACAATTTGATAAATTGAAGGATCGATCCAGGAACCCAACATCCAGCAATGAAAAGATATTTGTGTAATGTAAACTATCTCACTGAATTATATAATGACAGGAATCACCCCAAGTGCAGGAACATTTTCAGAATAATAATCATTGAAGGATAGCAGAAGGGGAAGAACCATAGTAATTTGCAAGTAATTCCACTGTGACCCACTACACGGATGGAGTAACAAGAGTAAAAATGAGTGAGGGAATAGAGACATCTGCAATACATGTGTGAAAACTTATGTTGATTGGTTCAGCTCTAAATCCAAAACCCAACCAGTAGAAACCGACATCCACATGGGGGTAGGATGAGGGATCGCAATCGAAGATGAGAACTGCAATTTTGATGGCTCACTCCCATGTTACATAGTGGAGGATATCTCATCATTTACACAAGCCGAACACCACCGCCCTACTCTCAACTGAATGGTTTTATAATCATATTATATTATTTGTATTTCATTATCACATTCAGGAGGATGCCTTCATGGTCAACCACCCCAGCAGCTTAGAACTGTAAAGTGGTAAGGACTCTCAAACTCCACTAGAAGAAAAGGGGCAGAAAGTGTGGTGGAGAGTCTGGAGGAACAACATCTGAGACAGTGCAATGGGTGACCACAAAACCCTATTTTGAAAAGCAGACCATATCAATTT